CCCCCCGCCTCCGGCTCGATCAGGGTAGGGCAGGAACGGCAGCAGCCGTCGTTGTTGTTCGGTGGGTTGGCGAACGTCAGTGTGTGAATCGAGAGAGCTGCGCACCCGAGCCATGGCTCCAGTGGGCGCCAGCGATCTAAACCGGTGAGTGGTTGACGTTTGTTTGTGAGGGAGAGCGATCGTTAGAACTTTGGGTCATCCGGGCTCTTTTCCGTGTCTCGAGCCTCGGCTTCTGCTGGGGAAGGCCGGCGCGAGCTCGGCACTCCGTGTGGGCATGTGTGTGCTTGATTGGTCCATCTTGCTCTGCCGCTCGAGGCCTGGATTCGAGTCCCTCTCTTGCTTGCTTTCTTCCCCTCCCTCTCCCTGGTGGAATTTGGTAGGTTGCTCGCTGGCCATTATCCGCTCGCGCTGGAGGGAGACACACCGTGGTGCTAAAGAATCTGCTTGTGGGCTAGCAGTGCTCCAGGACTCTCTCCCCCCCTTCCAAGCGAGGCCCGTGGCTTGCTGCCGCTGGGCCTCGCCGGTGTCTCACTCCCCTCCCCCCACAGTGAAGCGAAGCAGGTCGCAGAGCGTTCTTTGAAGTACATGCGCAGGGAATGCTCTTTTAGTTTGGGGGGGGGATTTAAATATCCCCCTGATATTTTTTTAAAGGTTTCAGATTTTTTTTAAAGGTTTCAGATTTTTGTGCACACCTGGGGACTGCCCCAAGTGTGCACAAAATCTCCCTCCCCCCCAGGTGCCCCCGATGCGCAGATTTAGATATCCGCACACAGGGGGCACCTTTCACTATTAGATATATAGATGGCACCTTCAAGACCAACAAAGGTTTATTCAAGGTATGAGCTTTCGTGTGCAAGGCACACTTTTTCAAATACATTGGAATGGTGTGTAAGGTTCAAACTCATAGACAGGGAAATTAACATGTAACATGATGATGTATAAGTCTGAACCTTACACACCATTCCAATGTTTTTGAAAAAGTGTGCCTTGCACATGAAAGCTCATGCCTCCTATAAACCTTTGTTGGTCTTAAAGGTGCCACTGGACTGTAATTTTGTCTTACAGTCATTGACTCAGATCTGGGACAAGTTAGTTCAAAGGCTGAACTCAGCATTGTAGCCAACATGCAGCTGCCACTGAAAAGTGGCAGTCCTGAGTGCATCTCTGTTTCCTTTATTAATGTAGAATAAGGCATAACAGTAGAGATGATGTTACTGTCACTGAAGTAGCGCGGGAAAGCAAAGCACTCATGGGCTATGATCACATAGACTATATAATCCCCTTTCAGTGTACTTTCCAACTGGATTTTACTTTGTGAACTGGCAAAATCCATTTGAAAAGTGCACTGAAATTGGATTATTTAGTGTGTGTGATCACAGCCATGATGTGACATCATCACATCACAGACGTTGAGTTATGGTGCAGAAAAGAAGAGGCAATGTGTGGCTTTTTACTCTTTGCTTTTAGCAGCATTATCATTTCTGGCTGTCCTTGTGGCCATTGAAATCAATGGTATTCATGGCAACTCAGATGCAAACTATGTGTTACATGCCAATGTATGTAATGGGGCCCTGATGACTTAAAAAAAAATCCTGTAAGGAGAACTTAAGGAAGGAGGTTGGTAGGGGAAGAGAGGGGGGTGCCGAAACCTTCCTTTCCCCACTATTTCCCTACTCCAAGTTGCAGTCCTCTATCTGTTTTCCCTCCCCAATGGGTTTCATATTATGTTTGCTGTACTGATCAGAGCCGGACTGGCCCTCTAACTCTCAGGGAAGTTTCCTGGTGGCCTGCTGTCACGGATGGCCAGGAACAAGGTGAACCAAGTGACCCTGCGATGTCAGCAGAGCTGCTGAGCATGCTCAGTTTGGATCCAGTCTGAGGTGGTTATAGGCGTAGACTCCCCTTGGCTCTTTCCATGGCACAAAACCACCCCTTGAGTTCAATCCTCACTGGTTTCAGTAAGAGTTAATCACAAGAGAGAAACAGAAAAAAGCAGAAAGGCACCACCAGTTTCCAGATACGGCAGACCAGATAAGATGAACCCCCACCCTGTTTATGCATTTCGGAAAGTGCTTGACAAGTTTTAGAGTGTATTGTCACTTAGTCAAAGCAAGGGTTGCATCTCCTGCAGGAAGCATTGTTTTCCTTATCCCAAGCCATTTTCCCCATGTTGAAATGGCACCAGGGAGAGTCATTTCCCCATTTTTGCCTCTCCGCATGGAGTATTCTGTGCGTCTGAAGAGGCAAAATCTGGGAAATAGCTCTCCCCTCGATGCTCTTTCAAAATAGGAAAATGACTAGGGGGAAGGATGTAACCCTTTGTCCCTCCCCCTTCTGTGTCTTGCGACTAGGGTGGGTGCTGTCCTGAATGTCACAACTACAGATCTCGTATTTTAAAACAACAACCCCTTTGTTTTTGCGTCCATCCTCTCTTAAGCCTGTGGGCAAGATCCATCTTGTTTTAGGTACAGGTGCTAGCCACTGCAGGTGCTTTTGCAGTAGTGAACAAGCAACAATTGCTTTTACTGAACTTACTCATGAAACTGTGTTTTCCAGTCAACTCAAGCAGAGTCTCAGCTGCCATCTCGGGAGAGCAACCGCGTGGGATCAAACAAAGTTTTCCGTCAGGTACCTGAACCGTGAATTCCTTGGAAAGAAGGTTCCATCAGTGTGGTCTTCCAAGGGCCACCCAGTTACTACAAAATGGTCCCAGTCTCAGCTGGCCTACTGTTTGGGTAGGGTGAGGTGGCCTGGAACAGGTGACTCGTCTTGGAATACCATAAAAGGACAACAAATGATCAATCACTGAGTTGGGTCTGGTTTAGTTATATTTGTACTGCTGGGGAGGAAAATGTTGGATTTCCTGTTTCAGGCATTAAAGTATTCAGAGCTGTCTTGGATGCTGAGGTTGCTATCCTCACTGGATATGCAAGTTTTCGCTTTGTATCCAGTATTTCTGATCCAACCCAGTGCATGGAGCTCTTTTCAAAAACCTAAAATCCTCCCATCAGCTAGTGGTCTGAGAAGGGGAGCAAGTGGACTGAATCTAGACCCCTTTTCCTCTTTTCAAAAAGCCTGTTGAAAGATGGTAGCTTTTAAAAAAGCAGCTTGTCCATGCAGTCTTGGGTTTGGGATCAAGGAGGGGATTGTTGGACTTCTCATCCAGCTAGGGATGAAGGGACACGGCTCCGTACCCGAACCCCCCTACCAGCCTGAAAGAAACACAGATGGACTAAAAAATTATATTACAGAGCATAGGAAAATACGGAGGATCAAAAGGTAGATCCAGCTAGGGATGTGTGTGTGGAAACCTGCACGCACTTTGTATCTAGCTGAATCCTGGTATTGACCAGGATTCAAAGAACTATGCAACCAGTTCCATATGCCCAAGAGGGCTTTGGGACTCCTGTTTCTTGAACAGTAGCCTCCAGTTCATACAGCTGTTCACAAAACAATTCACTGTTTTTGCAACTGAACAGAGTTCAATAGTACTTTGTTTCACTACACAGGAGTTTGCTGATTGGAGGAAAGAAAACAAATTTCATAAGGCATTTGCCAGTCCTTACAGTTACCTAAAAGTAACACCTTTGGATCCAATCCATTATTTCCTTCCCATTTATTTGATTTAAAAAAAATTAAACTCCCTTTTTGGTCACAGTGGACTAAAATAGCTTACCGAGTGACATCAACCTAAAACATACATCTGGGTCAAACATAAATGATCAATGAAAATATATTTAATACACAAACGTTTTGCAGAATAAAGCTCTGCAAATGCACCAGAAACAATACTCGTTGCTCATAGGAGGTTAGGAAGCAGAAGATCAGATCTGTCCACATGTTGAAAGCCCTCCGAAGTGAAACAGTTTCAAACTGAAACCAAAGAAACAGTGCTGGGGAAGGGATTCCACATTCTTGGCACTAGGGCTGAAAGTAAAAAGGTACTGGCTTGTACAAAGTACCAGTAAGGAAGTGGCTTGAAGTGACATTTCCCACCTTCTGTTTTGAACCGTCCCCCTCCTGAGAGAGGCAGTACCAGTAAGAAATTTAAGTTGGTTTCACACCTGCTTGGAGTCACTACTACTGTGAGGGCCCTGTCTTTCTAGCCACATGCCAAACGTCTGAAGGTGGCGGAGTCTGGAGCAAAGTCTCACCACTTTGTGTTGAGGAAGGTGGGCAGACCAGGGCGTTATGGCCACTGGGACTTTTCCTGATGGGCTGAATGGAAAAATGGGAAGAACTCTTTCATCCTCGTAGCTGTGCAGACCTGGGCAAGTGGAGCATTAGCAACCATGAGGAATGCCTGGCTATGAAGGGCAGTGGAAACTTATTTAAAAAACATCATATTTTAATATCTTGCATACTTTATAAAACCAAACCCAGAATAAGAGTCGGCTTTTGTACTCTGCTGTTCTCTATCCTAAGGAGTCTCAAAGTGGTTTACAATCACCTTCCCTTCCTCTCCCCGTCACAGGCACCTTGTGAGTCAGGTGGGGCTGAGAGAGTTCTGAGAGAACTGTGACTGGCCCAAGGCCACCCAGCAGGCTTCATGTGGAGGAGTGGGGAATCAAACTCGGTTCTCTAGATTAGAGTTCACTGCTCTTAACCACTACACCACGCTGGTTCCAAGCAGTTGGTGGTTGTACTAATTTTCCTTTCTTTTTTCCCTTTAGAAATTAAGCAGTTGTGTTAGTGCACTCCCTCACTTGGAATGCCAAGCTAGATCTAATTTAGTTTCAAGTGCCATAAAGCCCCAGCCACAAGATGGTACCCTTCCACAGATAGCCACTAAGAACCTGCAGAACACATCGCAACAGGTAAACTGGCAAAAAAATTATCGCTATGTTTTTGTATTGTATTACTGTAATGTATCATGCACCGTTATCAGCATCAAAAATTTGGTGCGCGTTGACACTTAAGAGCGGCAGAGGAAGGAAGCAGACAATTTTGTCCTTTATCTGTGAATATGGCAGTCAGATGAGTGCCTGCAGTGGATGACCAAACAATGCTGCTAATTCCCATCATTTATAAAGTAAAAAGAAATTTCCCTTGCTATGAATGTAAGATAGCAAGAAGCTTCATGACACAAACATTTATGATAGTGATAGTTTCAGAAGACAGCTGTGTTGGTCTGCGGTAGAACAGTTAGATTCAAGTCCAGTAGTGCCTTAGAAACCAACAAGCTATTCAGGGTATAAGCTTTCAAGAGTCAAGGCTCCAGACAGAGCTTTTTTTCCAGACAGAAGAGAGAGAACAAAACAGGAACCCTTTAAAAACTTAGAGTGGAGTGGGGGGGGGGTTCTCCACACCCTCCTTTCTTGCTGAGATTCAAGGCAAATTACAGGGTGTAGAACAATGCAGTTGAATAACACAAGAGGTCTAATAAGCAATCCAGTACTACTAAGATTATAAAAATTTGAGACAGTCCAAAAAAGTATGATCTACCAAGTGATGCAGCAAATGGAATTATGAAAGTATAAAACAATGCTCATTCATATTCCTGCTCATCCTCTAATGTGATTTATGCCATCATGTTTCAACAATGCTCTTCCACCCTCTACATTGGACAAACAAGCCAGTCCCTTTGACAAAGAATTAATGGACATAAATCTAACATTAAGAACCACAACATTCAAAACCAGAGGGGGACATTTTAACTTTCTAAGACATTCAGTTGCTGACCTAAAAGTAGCAGTTCTCTTTCAAAGGAATTTCAAAGGGAGATTAGAAAGAGAGACTGCTGAATTGCAATGGATAATGAAGTTCAAGACAATGCCAGCTCCTGGACTGAATTGAGACCTAGGTTTCCTGTCTCATTACCAATGCTGATGTCTCTGCACCTACTAACTCTCTGCATATCTCACCTAAATCCAATCATGCCTGCTGTTGTTATTCACCTGCTATTGTAATTTGCCTGCTAATGTCATTCGGCATCTGAAATCACTCCACTTTCCAATAAATAGAATAGATGGACTCCCATTCTAGCTGTATCTGAAGAAGTGAGGAGTTGTTGTTGTTCAGTCGCACAGTCGAGTCCGACTCTTCGCGACCCCATGGAGAAGATCTCGCCAGGCCCTCCTGTCTTCCGCCGTCCTCTGAAGTTTGCTCAATTTCATGTTCATTGTATCTATGACACTGTCTAACCATCTCATCCTTTGCCGCCCCCGTCTTCTTTGACCTTCAGTCTTTCCCAGCATCAGGGTTTTCTCCAGTGAGTGCTCCCTTCTCATTTGGTGGCCAAAGTATTTGAGCTTCAGTTTCATTATCTGGCCTTCCAGGGAACAGTCAGGGTTGATTTCTTTTAGGATTGACTGATTTGATCTTCTTGCAGTCCAAGGGCCTCACAAAAGCTGCTACCCTGCCTTTAGTTAGTCTTTAAGGGACTACTGAACTCTTACTCTTTTCTGCTGCTCCAAGCAGACTAACACGGCTACCCATTTTGATCTAAAGCAATGCTATAAGTTCAGGATGATACCTACAACAAACAGATAATATATGAAGCAGGGATCCTTGGTGTGGAGCCCGTGGTGCCCACAAACATCTTTCCTGATGCCTGCCGATTATTTTTAGAAAATGCTTTTGCTCAGCAGGACTTCTGACTGGCCATCAGTGTTCTTCTTTGCTGTGCATATATTTAAAAAGCCACTTTTTACCCTCACCTCATGACATTTTGTAGTTCTCTTCACCTCCTGAGGCAACCATTTTGTGGTTGGCTCTGCCTCCTGTGGCAACAGCCACCACCCACAAAAAACTTGGGGACCTCTGAACAGTGGCATAGACTACACTCCTGTTCCCTTTTAGGTGATTAAGTTGATAGTTCCTTGATGACTATACCATGAAGAGCCTGACCATGTGTGAGGGGGCTGGGTTGTGTGGCAAATACATGACCTTGAGGAATACAGCCGTTGGCCAGCCTTGCATTAGTTGCATTCCCAAATCCTTTGCAATTGCCTCTTCTATTTTGGAATGGTGGTTTACTAACCAGACCAGACCCAAAACATGGTTGGCAGTCTCAGGGTGAGATTGGAGGTGTGAATGGATTGCAGAAACAGATCTGGGTCTGATCCATACCTGGATGGGAGACAACCCAGGAGCCCCACACATGTGCCATTTTGATTACTGAAGTGAGACAAAGATAATAAATAAACCTAATGAACCCGTTTTATCAAAGCAGAGGTGACCTAGTCTAGCATGTTCCTGTGATTCTTTACTTGGAAGCAATCCCCCATAGAGCTCAGTGGGGCTTTCTTCCAGGCGAGTGTTGCCTCTGTATTTATGGGTGTAGAGACAGACATACTTTGAGTGACACACACACGTGAAGCTGCCTTGTACTAAATCAGATCATGGGTCCATCAAGGTCATTATTGTCTACGCAGACTGGCAATGGCTGTCCCGGATCTCAGGCAGAGGTCTTTCACATCACCTGCTGTCTGGTTCTTTGTAACTGGAGATGCTGGGGATTCAACCAGGGACCTTCTACATGCAAAGCAGATGCTCTGCCATGGAGCCACAGCCCCCATGATCAAACATACAGTCTTTCTTGCATGATTGAATGCAGGGGGAAACTACTTTTGCTTGCTTTCTGTGGAAACCAAATGTGCACACCACTGGTTACTTAGCCGGGAGGGTTTTAAGAATAACAATAAGATGCTAAACAAATGTTTAATCCAGCAAACCTTCAAGAAGCTTCTAATCTCCTTTTTGCCACTGGGTGGCCATAGGGAAGTCTGTATATGTCCTAAGGTGCCACAAGAATTCATGCTTTCAATACTACAGAAAGCAAATGTGGCTATTTCTCTTGTACTGGTTTTTCTTTGCATTTTAGAGTAGGAGGGTGAGACAGGAGATGGGAAAGGAGGTGGGTAAGCTAAAGCGTCTCTCTGTCATCTGGCCTGTATAATCCTCTCTCTCTCTCTCTCTCTCTCTCTCTCTCTCTCTCACTCTCTGTTTTATTTAGCAGGAAAACAGAGCTCAAGGCCAGCCATTTGCTTCAACTTTGCCCGAAAACAGCAGCCGAGTGCTGTCCAGCAAGGCAGAGCTAGAAAAAGCCCAGAGTCTCAAGCTACCTCTGACTGCAGCAGGTACAGTGCAGACGCAGGGAAGTGGGGGGGACGTTGTAGCACACTCCTCTGCTTTTAAAGGCTCTAAGGTAGGAGTGGGGGGGGGGCTGCGTAGCATAATGATGCCAGGGTGGTATGCTGTAAAGCAGGGGATCCTGCCGGTTCAAATTTCTCTACAACCCCTAACTGATTTAATTTATCAGTTATTGCATGAATTTTGTTTATTGTCCTGAGGCCAGCCATACATCTCTTGGATCTTCTCCACACAGGTTATTTGCCCTGGGTTCAGTGCTGCTGAGAAGCAGGGTTCCCCCCACCCCCCAGCATTGTGGGGGCATTTGCAGCAAAGTTTTGGGAAAGGTTGCAGTAAAGACAGTCAGTGCGGTGTAACGGTTAGGAGCGTGGACTCTAATCTGGGATAACCAGGTTTGATTCCCCACTCCTCTACGTGCAGCTGCTGGTGTGACACTTGAGGACACTCTAGCTCTGACTTTGATAGCCACACAGATGCTTTTTGGACCTAATTTGAAGATGTTCTAATTCAGCAACTGTGCATTTGGCACCAGACACATGACTTTCATTTTTAGAGGCCTCACAAACATCTTTGTCTTGTGTCTATAGATCTTGCTGTTTAACCTTCCTTTTCTTGGTCCAGTATTCACTTAGTGGTTATCTTATTGTAATATGTACCTCATATGTACTGTTACGTGTACCTCAATATTCTTTGACCTCTGAAGAAGGCCCCAATAGGGCAGAAACGCGTCAGGTCATGTGTATTGGCCCTTGTGTTCAGGCCACTAATACTTTTTAATGAAGCTTTCATTGGGCCCTTATATGTTTTTAACTGTCTTTCTAATAAATACATGTATGTTTGTATATTACAAGTTTTAACTAGGTTTTTAATATTGGCCCTTTATCAAGACTTCTTTCTTACCCTTGTGGTTCTTGATTCCAGTTTTTGGGTCGAGTTTGTTTTCCCCTCCCTGTGTCTTAGTGACCCTGGGTCAGTCACAAGTTCTTTCAGAGCTGGTCTCTCAAGAGCAGTCCTCAAAAGAGCTCTCTCAGCCCCACCTACCTCACAGGGTTTCTGTTGTGGAAAGAGGAAGGGAAAGGAGATTGTTAGCCGCTCTGAGTGAAGGTTGGGTTGTTGTTGTTGTTGTTGTTGTTATTATTATTATTATTCCTCCTCCTCCTCCTCCTCCTCCTCTTCCTCCTTATGGTTGTTGTGTGGGCAGGAAAGTTCCGATTTTCCTAGTCCCACCCCATTTTCCCTGCCCCTTAGCAACACTCCCTCTCTCCACGTGGGCTTTTCTTTTGGCGTAAATAGCCACTGAATAACATTATAACAAAGTACAAAAAAATTAGAGTCCAGTGGCACCTTTAAGACCAACAAAGGTTTATTCAAGGTATGAGAAAATATGATGTGGCTTTGTCTAGGTTTTAATGCACACTTCATCAAATATTTGATATTGTAACAAAGTTATATGCCAGTTTGGTGTAGTGGTTAAGTGCGTGGACTCTAATCTGGGAGAACCGGGTTTGATTCCCCACTCCTCCCCTTGCACCTGGCTGGATGACCTTGGGCAAGCCGTAGTTCTGATAAGAGCTGTTCTTGAAAAAAGAGAGCAGTTTCTGTCAAGAGCTCTCTCAGCCCCACCTACCTCACAGGGTGTCTGTTGTGGGGAGGGGAAGGGAAAGGAGTTTGTAAGCCGCTCTGAGACTCCTTTGGGTAGTGAACGGCGGGGTCTAAATCCAATCTCCTCCTCCTCCTCTTCTTCTTCTTCTTCTTCTTCTTCTTCTTCTTCTTCTTCTTCTTCTTCTTCTTCTTCTTCTTCTTCTCTTATACCTCTGCTGTGAGGCTTAGTTTTTTAAAAAATGACATCTGAAAATTCAGGGTACCTGAGACATGTATTGTTATGGTGGTGGAAAGTGCCACTAAGTCACAGCTGCCTGATAGCAACCCTGTTTGGTTTTCAAAGGGGCTGTGGTGGCTCAAGTGGTTAAGATGCTGAACTGCAGACCGGAAGGTTGGTAGTTCAGCAGTTCGAGACCCGAGTGTGCCGCCTGACGGAGTGAGCTCCCATCTCTAGTTCCAGCTCCTGCCAACCTAGCAGTTCGGAAGCAAGAAATTGCAAGTAGATAAATAGGTACCGCTTCGGTGGGAAGGTAACAGCGTTCCGTGCACCTCGGCGTCTAGTCATGCCGGCCACATGACCACGGAAACATCTTCGGATAGTGCTGGCTCTTCGGCTTGGAAACTGAGATGAGCACCGCATCCCTAGAGTCGGATTCGACTGGCTTTCGAACAAGGGAAACCTTTACCTAGGGTTTTCAAGGCAAGAGATGTTCAGTGGTGGTTTGCCATTGTCTGCCTCTGTGTAGCAGCCCTGAATTTCCTCTGTGGTCTCCCATCCAATAGCTAACTAGGGCCAACCCTGCTTAGCTTCTGTGATCTGATGAGTCTGAGCTGGAATGGGTCATCCAGGGCATGGCGCATATTGTTATAGTGATGTTCAACTGCTGATTTAAAAAAACACCCTGGAAAAGTCTTGGTGGCATGGGGTGAATGGCTGCTGCCAGGGCCCTATAGCAGGGAAACTGCAAGGAAACCTGCCTTATGGAAGCTCCATTGCCACTGTGATGTATCAGCAACAGCAGCCTGAGTCCCCCTATGGAAAACCTGTAGCCTCCTTTCTATCCCAGTGGGATAACATTGGCCTGTTTGACACTTTCAAGAGGTAACATAAGCCTTCCAAGTGTGACGGAGGGGTGGTGTTACTTCCTGTATTCAGATTGATTCATGTTGCTAACAGCCAATCATGTTAACATTCAATCGCCGTCTTCTTTAAACCAGAAGCCTTGAAGCATTTTAAAAACCAGCTAACTCTGTATGAGCAACGAGAAATCAAAGAATACAGAGAGCTGTGGTATCTTGGGCTGGGAGCTAAAAAGATTGAAGGATACACTGACACAGAGAACAACAATTCCTATGACGATGATCACGGCTCTTACAAAAAAGTAAGTGTCAACAACTGTAGTTTGTTTGTTTGTTGTTGTTTGTATTGCCTTCCAAGCACAGTGGATGGAGCATCCTCTGCCTTCATCTCACAAGGTACAATTTCTGTTGTTGATAATATATTGAAGATTTCCAAAGAGAAGTTGTATGTAATAATTCCCTCCTAGCCCCCTGTAGTTAAGCCCATTTTTCCTTACTCCTGCAACAGCCAGGGGTCAGCAAGAGAGGCTGGGTGGGGTTTGCTAAGGATCCAACATTGGCTTCTCTTATGTTCTTATTAACACATGGAATTCACTACCACAGGAGGTGGCAGCGGCTACAAGCATGGACAGCTTCAAGAGGGTATTAGATAAGCATATGGAGCAGAGGTCCATCAGTGGCTATTAGCCATAAGGTATAGATAGGGACTCTGGGGCAAGGGATGTTCTTTATTCTTGGTGCTTGGGGGGGGGACAGTGGGAGGGCTTCTAGTGTCCTGGCCCCACTGCTGGACCTCCTGATGGCACCAGGTATTTTTGGCCACTGTGTGACACAGAGTGTTGGACTGGATGGGCCATTGGCCTGATCCAACATTGGCTTCTCTTATGTTCCCCTGTGGAATTCCTTTGCTGCCACCCCCTGCCCTTAAGAGCATTGGTGTGCCCCTTGGGTATCGTCCCCCCCCCATTTACTCTGCTCAAATGCCAGTTTAGCTTTGGGGGAACACCAAATCAGGAGAAATTGGTAACTCAGAGAGCAATCTGACTGTGGGTAGGAAAATGAATGCAGTCTTATTTAATTAAAAAGGCAAAAACTTTATTCTCTGCTAAAAGATCAACACACCTTGCAAGCTACAAAGAAGGTGTACTATCTTGGCCTGGTTTTGTCTTGGCCACAGTTCCCTCTAAGCTGCACTAGAGGGCACTGGTGCACAAAATTTTAGCTGGTATCTCAGGGATTTTAGGTCCAGCTCACAAGTAAACACTAAGGCATTTCCCCCCTCCATTAGAAACAATGAAGGATGGGGCAACTCCTTCTGGGGTCCATAGAATTTGACCCCCTGGTCCATTCTTTTTGAAACTTGGGGGAGGGTTTGAGGAGCGGCACCAGCAGCTATGCTGCAAATTATGTGTCTCTACCTCAAAAAAAAATCCCTTCAAGCCCCCGATACCTCCGTATCAGTTCTCCATTTTAGCGTATGGGGCCCCATTGACTATAATGATCCCCATAAGCATTAATGGAGCCACAAAAATAGATATTTTTTTTGCACACCCCTGTTATGTTTTTCAGTATGATTTATAAGATGCCTTGAGTCACAGGAAAAGTAGGATATAAATATTTGAGTAAATAAGGAGATTGGGCAAGTTGATACTTGGAAACTATTTAAAACTACGATCCTAGAAGCTATATATATATATATATTCCGCAGGTTAGGAAAGGCACAAACAGGTATAGGAAAAAGCCTGCATGGTTAACAAACAAAGTAAGGGAAGCTGTAAAAGGAAAACGGAAAAAAGGAATCCTTTAAGCAGTAGAAAGCTAGTCACAGTGAGGCTGATAAAACGGAACACAGGCTATGGCAAATAAAATGCAAGTCTGTGGTCAGGCAGGCAAAAAGGGAATATGAGGAGCATATAGCAAAAAATGTAAAGACCAACAATAAAACTTTCTTCAAATACATTAGAAGCAGGAAACCAGCCAGAACTCAAATGTGAACTTGTGGATCTCCTGACAAAAATATGTAATCTTTCCTTAAAATCTGCCTCCATTCCTGAGGACTGGAAGGTAGCTAATGTCACTCCCATCTTAAAAAGGGGTTCCAGACCAGTCAGTCTGACGTCGATACCGGGTAAATTGGTGGAAACCATTATTAAGGAAAGAATTAGTAGGCACATAGATGAACAAAACCTATTGAGGCAGACTCAGCACGGTTTCTGTAAGGGAAGATCTTGTCTCACTAACCTGTTAGTGTTCTTTGAGGGGGTGAACAAACATGTGGACAAGGGGGATCCAATAGATATTATTTACCTTGACTTCCAGAAAGCTTTTGATAAAGTTCCTCATCAAAGGCTCCTAAGTAAGCTCAAAAATTATGGGATAGAAGGAGAAGTCCTTTTATGGATCAAAAACTGGCTAGTTCATAGAAAACAGAGAGTGAGTGTAGGTGGGCAATTTTCTCAGTGGAGGGTGGTAAGCAGTGGGGTACCGCAGGGATCAGTACTTGGTCCACTGCTTTTTAACTTGTTCATTAATGATTTGGAGATGGGAGTAAGCAGTGAAGTGGCTAAATTTGCGGATGATACAAAGTTGTTCGGGGTGGTGAAAACCAGTGAGGATTGTGAGGCACTCCAAGGGGATCTGTCAAGGATGGGCGAGTGGGCGTCAACATGGCAAATGGGGTTCAATGTGGCCAAGTGCAAGGTGATGCACATTGGAGCTAAAAATCCTAAATATAAATACACATTGATGGGGTCTGAACTGGCAGAGACTGATCAAGAGAGAGATCTTGGAGTTGTAGTGGATAACTCACTGAAAATGTTGAGACAGTGTGTGACTGCAATAAAGAAGGCCAATGCTATGCTGGGGATTATTAGGAAGGGTATTGTAAACAGATCAGCCAATATCATAATGCCCCTATATAAATCAATGGTGAGACCTCATTTGGAATACTGTGTGCAGTTCTGGTCACCACACCTTAAAAAGGATATTATAGCTTTGGAAAAAGTGCAGAAAAGGGCAACTCGAATGATAAAAGGGTTGGAACACTTTCCCTATGAGGAAAGGTTAAGGCGCTTAGGGCTCTTTAGCTTGGAGAAAAGACGACTGAGGGGTGACATGATTGAGGTTTACAAGACTATGCATGGGAAAGAGCAGGTAGAGAGCACTCCATGAAATTGCTGAGCGGTCGGGTTAGAACGGATAAAAGGAAGTACCAGAACTCCTCTCTCTTTGACTGCAGCCCCACAATCGTGATGGCTGGCGAAAGCAAAGACATCAGGATGGGAACCGGTTCCAAACCTAAGTTCCCGATCCCACTACCTGACAAAAAAGAAGAGAAGCTGGTTGACCCCAAACCCAAGAAACACACAGTCTGTTGGAAGGAAGCGGCCAGATCGAAACTGAGAGAAACCTATGGGATGACCCAGCCTGGCTCCTGAGCACTCCCAGACTCCAAGGGGTGAAAGCTCGTCTTTGTCCTGAACTAAATAAAGGTATGCTTAGCTGAAATCACTCTCTGTCTGCATACTTTTCACTGGCGACGAAGGTGGGATCCACGACCCCATGAACAAAGACCCGGACGCCAACACGAGCACCGCACCGAGCACCGACGCCGAGACCTCCGGGCACCGCGCCGCTTCGCATCCCAGCTCTCCGGCAACCGCTCATCGCCCCGCTCCCGGCTCCGCTCCACACCCTGCTGACCCCGAGAGCAGCAGCGCCCTTCTCAACGCTCCAGTCGCCGCCGCCATCCCAGGGGACACCCAACCACGTGGCGGCAGCACAATGGCGACCCCTCCGAGCAACATCTCCGCTTTTGATATCGGCCGCCCCACCGAATGAGAGGCCTGGCTCGAGATCCTGACGAGCTACTTCAACTGCCACAAAATTATGGACGACGGA